AATTGAAGCGGTGAAATGCAAGTCGGTTGTTTTCCTCAAATTCGGCAAAAATTTGCTGTAAAATGTGCGCCAGGGTAAATTGTGATTTGCAATGAATTGTATACGTGCATAGTAATAATCAACTGAATTGGTAATTTTATGCTCTTGGTTTTTTTTTTTCAACTTGGAGTGTGTACAGCCGAATCGCTTGCAGAGCGCCAAACCTATTGATAATGATTTTCAATAATCAATTCCGTTGAGTTGCAGTCACGCGCATTTCCCAATGAAAATGAATCGTGAATGAAATGAGAAAAAGATAATTTGTTTTGTGGCACTTAAATTCTATTTCAGAGATCATTACCGATTGTATGGTATACATGTTTATGTATAAAAAGCATTATATCGTCGTGATGCGTCGTCTTTTGTTGAGGTGGAAAATTTTTGTGCGCTTGGTTTGTAGCCTGCGGACCGTTTTATGTTATCTATTGCGTTAGAGGCGATTTCAATTTTTGTTACCAGTTGTAACGTTGTTTTTTTTTTGTTGTGTTTAATCCACCATCAATGATCCGCAGCCAATAATTTCCAAGGCGCATTTACAACATTAGAATTTTTGGTGTATGTGAGTGCATGGGGCAAAATGCAGTCGACTGCATGCATTCATGCACCTCTTGTTTTTTGCTTCAAAAAATTTATTGCTCTCGGAGACCAGTTTTTTTTCTTTTCTAGCAAAATATATTGAAAGCAGGAAAATCACAAGAACGATCGCTTGTGATCGAAATGCATTTCACGTGTGCGCGTGTGCGCATGCTTCGAAGTTCGAACCGTATTGATGACGGAACAATCGAAACACATTTTAAGCGCACATTTTTGCTGTTTTTTTTTTGCCACAAATAAAAACAAATGATAATAATAAATTTCCTCAAAATGAATCTCTCAAGAATATAATGTAACACATCGAGTCATTTGGTCTCTGTTCTATGCATTTCAAAATCGTTTCAATTGCGACTTCACTGTAAGACATACGACTTTAAGTTCTCAATAAGCAACGATGTTTTATTTGTATGTGTGCCTTCTTTGGTCTCATTTATATTATGCGACATTCACAATCCAATGGTTCGTCTCTGTTTTTGTCGTTGTTGTTGAACAAAAAAATCCAATTTAATTACAACCTATGAAATATAGATTATTCGCCTCTTAAAGAGACGCAACTAAAACGACAACTGTAAAGAGAGGAGAAAAAATGACACTCCAATCCATGCTTGGCTAATGTCACGCTTACATGCATATTTTTACGGCATTTAGCATGGAACTGAATGTTCATGCACTTACATAACTTGCAATTGCTTTGCGTTTACCATGTGATGATTATCATTATAAAAAAAGATCTACTCGCAATTGGTTAGCTTCAATTGGCATTTAAACGTCGCACAATCGTCATTTCAAACTGACTTGACTATTAAACGTGTGTATCGATGGCGTTTTATTTCCATCTAGTTTCGGTTTTAACGTTACATTAAGACATCTTCAAATTTTTTAAATTGCCGTACATTATTATGTGAAGATTATAAAGGCGCGCGCATACATACAGATGCTCTGTTATACTCACAAGGAACCAGATCAAAAATATAACACGATGCTGTTTTTCGAATGAACTTAAGCTGATTTGGCCGAAAGATTCACATCGTGTTTTGTGCTTGCCCATGATTATGATAACGATGGTTAAATGCAATAAATTATACGTTTGCGTTGCGTGATCACTAAAATGATTTACCTATTCGACGCGTGCAAAACCATTGCCACAACAGCGTACTGCATCGTTCGTTACACTCTTAAGTAGATTCGAGGCAATGAAAAAAAGAAAACGAAATCGGGATTTTATTTTTGATCGAAACTCTCACAAGAGAAGAAGAAAAACAAAAGCAAATCGACTCAAAGAACTTATGCGAAAGGTGTTTATATGAGTAAAAATTGTGAAAATTAAAATACTATCATCAAACCAACTGAAGTTTATTATTCCTATTTTATCCATAAATGGTATGACACATTTTCTTCTTTCGACTATTTCACAGTGTCGTGTCAAAGGCACACTCTGCATTGTTCATTGGCCAAAGAGAAAGAAAGAGCGAGAGAGAACAAAATCGTGTGTATGTGCGCTTGTTTGTATGTGGAGACAAATTCGTTTCAACATGTTCCAAATCAATTATCTGGAAAACTTTTGGAGCTTAGTTCAATTCAAAAGTGAAAATGAAATGCAGCTGATGTCAAGATGTTGGCAAAGGCAGACAATGCACTTTGTTACACAATCGAACATGCACAATATCGTGCTATAAAGTAAATATAAGAAATTTCCTGCTTCAAAATGCAAATGATGATTGTTGTTGTTGTTGCTGCTGCTGCTGCTGTTTTTGTTGATTTTATTGTTATGTGTGTTTGTATATAGACAATATATTGAAAATTTCTAAACAACCCACTGGTATACATTTCCTTGAAATTCAAGCGGAGCACTGAACGTGTGAAATAACATCAATTTCGATAACTCTTTTGTCAAGTTAGTTTGGTATGTATTATTTAGAGAGGGCTTACATTTAACTTCAATTATACACCAGTTTAATCTCATCTAATTCATATTTCAAGAGGTCGTTACAGCTCTGTAGTTTTTTTTATCGTCATCCATTACTCCAAGTGGACTTTTTGTTTTGTTTGTTGTTCATACTAGAAAAAAAAAAAGACAGAAAGTGTTGAGGATGAACGACATTTGAATGTTATTTTCGATGGTGCGGTGTGATATTTGATGGGTGATTTAATGTTCGCTCTTGAACTTTTCCGAGTGTAAGTTTGGCATTTTTGTGTACATTGTGTGTATGTGTGTGGGTGTTTGTGATCTTGAAGGATGAGAAAACTTTCTCTGTATTCCGAGAAGTTTAAGTCGACAAATTGATTCGATAAAAAAAAATTAATTTGTGATGATAAACAACGAACTAATCTATGGTCATTTTATGACCCTGAAACGATTTGTATTGGACGAAACAAAAAGAGAGAAAGAGAGTACTTAGAAACGGAACAAGATTATAATTTGAGAATAAAGTCACGATTTGATTATCTACACCAATCGAACGCGGCATGCTTTGATGGGGCGAGAGCAAAGTACCTAGGTCATGAAAATCATGTGATTTATGTTAAAACGTGAAAATCCAATGAAAAAGGAAAATTAAAGATATTCACGACCGAAATTGGCACGGAAATTGCGATAAATTGAAACATGCGAAAGTGTGTGTGTTCGCTTTGAATAGACACCAAAATCGAATCGATGATTATTAGAGAAAATCTATAGTTGAGAATCTTCATTGAATTTGTGCACATATTTTATGTGTGTGTGTGTATATAATAAGCGTATAATCAATAATTGAAATCATTCACAGACTAGCATAAATAAAAATGGTTTCGTTAAATATGCGTGCACCCATAGTATGTAGACACAATAATGACACGATCCCCCGAATGATAAAAATAAGTTCTGTGATGGTCGATTGATTGCGATTCTATTGAATCGAAGTAATGCGGCTGTTGTAATAATAATAAAAATAATAAAAGGAAAGCATGTCATTTCATTTCGTTTCCCTCACTTCAATCGAGTGTCCGTTCGCCGCTAGTGTGTGCCATATAGTTCAAAGAGATTTCTTTTATCGATTACAAAAATATTTAATTTTGGGTCAGGGTCCCATTATTGTTTGCTATTCTACATATACACAAACAACATTGGAAAGAAAAAAAAACATTTATACATGAGGGAAAAATTACATTGGAATATTTCATATGGTCACATGTTTTGTTTTCATCGTCACTGATGCCTACACCGTCGCCGATACTGCTGCTGTTGATTTTTACTTTCGTTTCATTCGCCACACATTTCAACACGAATCGAAAGCTTTCTAATAGACGATACAAATTACAATCGCCTGTTTTAATATAAAAAGAGACCCCCACCGAAAAAACCGACAGCACACAATATCGTGAAAATATGATATTTTAAATATCCATAGTAAATGCTCATCGAATCATAAGAATATTATTTATGTTGTGTGCCTAGAATGGTTAGTCAATCATGCATATTTCGTATTTATGGAAAAATAAAATAAAAATTAAAACATGTTTACCACCATACCTGTGACCCAATTAAATACATTGGCCAATTCTTGCTCGGTTGTGGTGAAATAGTGATATCAAATTTATAAATAGCCACAAACATTTTCCAAATCGAAAAATCCTCAAGACATGTAAATGTAGTTGGAATTAGCATTTATTTCACGCACAATTGAATGATCTGAGTCAAGGCAATTTGTCGTAGCGCTATACTTAGCATGTATTTATATTAATGTAAGAGAACAATTGCCGACTTTTCACCGGCCAAACCTTTTCACGTTCATTCTCGTCTGTGTTTTTTTTGTTATGGTTACATATATGCGATTTTTTTTTTCTCTTGCTCTCATTGGATTAATCTTGATAATGAAATTGACCTATTTGCATTGAAATGTTAAGGCTGAATCCGGCTGCGTGTTTAACCATGAGAAAGTCGTGAATCATTTAATCGAAATTGAAAATGATTTGGAATTCTTAGAATCGGAGTTTGAATAAAGAGTGTCCTTTGGTCATTTGTTGCCGTGATAGTCGTTTTGGAGGGTCTTTTTATTGAATAATTAGGACGAAATTTACCAAAAAACAAAAAAAAACAATTTGCAACAAGTCTATCGGTGGAAAAGGTACCATGGCAGAACAATTAGGCGCGGAACCCCAAAAAATAATTGTGAGCTCATGGCTGATTGCGATAAGTAAAGATTTGATATGTTGATTCAACTGGGTATTCGGGACAAGTGATTTTATTGTTTTTTTTTTTGGGTATTACACATTGTGCATTGTCAGAGTTCCAAATGAAAATAAAATTAGAGTAAAAATTGGATTTCAAACAATCAACTTAATTCTAATGGATTTGGTATTTTTCTTTCTCCTTTTTTCTATGAATTTAGATCGAATTTGGCACAGGATTTGGAATGAAACGATGGCGGCGAATTTGATAAATCAGCCGATTTCATGACAACTGAATCCAAATTAATTTTTTTTTCTTTTTATTTCGAGTATACACTTCTTTTTTGACTTTAATGAAGCACACTAGTTTCAACAACATTCAGTGCCTTATGTTGGTTTTTGTGTGTCAATGAAGAAGAAAAAAAATTCGATTTCGTGAGTGCTTCGAATGAATACAGACAGCAAAGCAAAAATGACTTAATTTTCTATTTCGCCCAATTACTACTCGAAAATCAATCGTATGGTTTCATTTATAGTTCACCACAAAAAATATAGTGTTTATTTTGCCGCGTGTGCTCTTAACACAAACCACTCATCCCGACTCACTCTCTTGCACACCGGCAGAATTCAAATGTAAAAATTTCGAATCGTAATTATGCTGAGTACAAGTTTATGACGCCATCGACATATTCCGTACACGCGACAGCTTTCAAACCAAGACACACCATCAGGTAAGAAGAACCATCTACAAAACTTGAAAATAAAAATAAAGCCACAAAAATCGTCTCATTTATGATTTCACTGTGACGCAAAAGAAATATGTAAAATCGAAGAACTTTTAGGTGACTCTCAAGTGTTTGCAATAATAATTATATTACAATTACATGACACTCTACACTCTTTCAAGTGACGGTGTACTAAATCGAACAATTCGAATGTTCGCAAACTTAGTTTAAAACAATGCACTATCTTGATACAAGTGCAAATACTTTGTATAAAACGAAATGCAATATTTTGACAAAGCGATAATAAATGTGAAAAAGCGATAGAATGAGAGAGAGAGAAAGAGAGAAACAGATTGCAGTAGCTGTTAGCACTTCAGTTCATCGTGCATAAAACATTATACATCATATGGACACGAAGTTGTTAAAAGTAATTGCTGATAGTTTTTCATCAACAAAATTATAAACTGGAAGAAAAAAAATATTTTCGTTATTTTTTTTTCGCAAAAAAATTCTTCACGGTTCATTCCGTGTACAAGCAGAAATTCCAATCTGAAGTATTCACACAAGATACACTGAGTATGTATGCTCCGTACAAGTGCATTGGAAATGCTTCGGTGTACAATGTACATTGTTTCTTTTTCGATTTTTTTTTACTTTTGTTCTTTTGAGTAGCGATAGCGTGCAGTCAGAATAGTATAGTAACAACTTCTTCTTATTATTCGTTTTTTGATGATTATTAGCTTTGTTGATTGCCACAATTATGTTGGTTGTTCGAAGTTGTAGGGCTTCGAGTCATGTATTTCAATCGTACAACGCGTGTCAAACGAATGTTAAGTATTACTTCGTTATGGAATCGACAGATTTTCATGGAGCTTATGATGTACTCTCACTTGTTCTCTATGTCTTTTTCGTTTAATACATTTCAAATGTCTTATGTAATATATTGTGGTAGCCATTTGACCATCGGAATTAAATGGAATTTTATCAATGAATTTTTACGAAAATCAATAATTCTATATATTTTTGAATGAAGCTTTTTTTAGTCGGAAGTTACGTGCGGATAACAATCTCAAAGCCATGCGAACAAAATAACAAAAATAAATGAAAAGCAGAGAAAGAGATAGAGAGAGAAATAGGCATTTTCATCGAATTTACCTGCCTTGGTAGATTTCTTTGATTATAGACTAGACATAAAATTGTCTTATTGATTCAAATTATTCGTTTCCTTTTATCGCGGTAGCAAAAATAGACGTTCATAGAAAAAAAATATATACAATCTAAACGATTTTTATAATGTGTGCATTTTTGTCATTTATGATAATTTTTTTCGCGCAATTGCTTGAAAATGGCATTCAAAGTACGAACAAGACAACGAAAAAAGGCAGCAACTGAAAAAGAATCCAGCAACATTAAACGCCATTACTTCGTGTCATACACAAATCATTGTATGTAATTGATCCAGAAAATGTGAAACAAAAAAAGAGAAACAAATCGTAATTGCATTGGTTAGTCCACAATCAATTGAAATTTTTTTTACATCTCTGTCGATCTCTCTGTTTGTCTCTATCCGCTGATCGCTAAAATTGCAAAAATCAAATCAAATTAACAAAATGAAAAACTACAACAAAAATAAAATCGTAAATGTGTGTGTATGTGTGTGTGCGCAAGCGGTTTTCTTAATTATTACAATTTATGAACATTTGACATAAACAGTTTTGTTTACGTTTTTAGTTTCCGCCACAGTTTTTCGATCGATCGTTTGTCGCGGTACAAATGCAGCCACACGTTGGACCGTTGTTGTTCTATATGCACCAGTGTATCTCATGTGAATGTGTTAGTATGCATGGATTCGGTTGTATTGCTTTTGCTATTCAAAAAAAAAGAAGTGTGCATATTCAAAAGGTAGAAATTGAAATTGTGGTTGCATAACCAGTTTTTTGATGGTAGAGACCCAAGAGAATAGACACTAAATTGTCGACTTTGGTCTGGCAGTAACACGGACTGAACCAAAATATATGAAAAACAACCATTGAAAAAAGTGTACGAAAATAAAAAAAAAAATGATAAAAAAGAGAAGAAAAAGGCAAACAGCGTCACAAACATAAAAAAAGGTGACTGAAACGGGTTTCCATTTGCGAAATGAATTTTGTGTGCGACGTGAGTGCGGGTAAGAATGGAGTCGTAGATTCATGGTTACGGAGCATTCGTATTCTATTGCACGTTTTTGTCTCTCGAGCAAATTAAATCGATCTGTGTATTGCATTCGCCGTCGAGACCATTATTCAATGGCTTCAAATCTTTCGTGTGCGTTTTAAATTGTGTATTTGTGTGTATTTATTTTTACTCGTTTTCTTTTTATTATCGAATTTTCATTTCGACGACAATGCAGCGTATATCGAGTGAAATGTGAATATGCGCGCGCTCATTCTCCAGATAACGATTTAGTATGTTCATATAGTTTTTCATAAGAAAGAAAATAATGTTTCGATCGCACTAAAATGCAAATCCAATTGATACAGATGCATTGCACTATCTTACCTCTACCGAAACCATGTGCACGACTGCATATATCATTTACAATTTTCAATATTTCACCATATATAAATTAATATTACGGAAAAAACCTACACCAAAAAAAGCAGCAACAGCAGCAACAACATCAACAAGATATACTAAACCATTCTTCATCTAAGAGTCGCGATTTTACGTCTATTGATTGTTTGATTTCTTTAACGATCGCATAAAATGCTTATGTGATCTTTTGTATAGTGTTTTGTTTTTCTCTTCTGTGTGCGCCTTTCGAGTGACTTTTTTTCAGTCTTTCCCTCCCCCCATCTCTATCTCTCTCTCTCTCTCTCAGCCAATTCCACATGGTCAATGCATTACGTATTTCAAATTCGAATTCAAGTAGTGAAATTTAGATAGCGGTTTCACCGTTGACTTTCCTATTTACTGGGATAGTCGCATTTCGGTGTGCTAAAATTGAAGCATATTACAAGACACATTGTGCACATTAATTGAAATACGCGAACCGATTTGACAACCGGCAACTGTGTAATAACAACAACGCAAAACAATAAAAACAAACTCGTTTTTTTTTGTCTTTTCACTGAGCTAATCACCCAAAAGGCAACTCTAAGACACTATGTGTGTCGATGCATTTGTTTGTGTGCATGAGGCTGTTTTTTTTTGTTCAAGTGACCTTTTATACAATGTATGTTATGTGCCGTTCCTTTATTTATACTGTTAATGGCAAGATTTTTGAACGTATTTTTCTCGATGCATCAATATATAAAAGGAAAATAGATCGAACAAAAATTCTGCCCCGCACATTTTTCGCATCAAAACAAAGCAAAAATTTGGTGTTACGCCTATTTCAATTCATTCCATATATTTCATCAAATATTTTCACACTTGATCATTTAATGGATGATCTTTGACTCGATCAAAGTATAAACATTAAAGCTCGACCTGACTTAATTACAAAAACATTAGTATTAGAGAAACATTTGACTATGCGGCTGGTTGAAACAGAAAAATTGTCGACAATCGTTATAGTCATGCATCGTCATGCTGGCAACTGATATGTAACATTATAGCTCAAAACCAAATGATTATTTTTCAGATCAGATTTGATTCGTTAGTTAAATCGAATTTTGCATATGTCTACCTTTTTTCAATTCTGTAAAGGAATCACTTTGAAATGCTTTGGCGTCTAATAGCATATAACAAGAAAATCATTTTTTACGTGCTACTGTCATCATTATTCATACACGATCAACCTTATATCCAAGTTACGTATCACATAAAATAATTGAATGTGTAGACGATAAAGTTGCAGTTACTTACTACGGCCGGCAAAAACCGGCTTTGGAAAATATTCAAAATGCATAGCGTTGTTTTAGTCACATACATTTCATCATAATCGTTTGCTCATTTTAAACTAAAACATTTCTGAACAGGAAAAAAAACCATTTAATGTCTTTGATTTTGAAATAATTTAAAAGAAAAAATATAAAATATAGACACATTTTTTAAGGAAAGATACGTTTTTTCACTCGTTTCGATCGATTTCTTGAGTTCAAAGTTAATGCAAATAAAAAACTGCGTTGTTTTAGAAGTTACGATTATGAGAAATGACTCTGACCAAAGACTTCAATGTGATTATTCAAATTTTATAGGTTACTTGCATGTAATGAAAATCGTCTGCATCGATGCAGAGTGATTAAGATTTTATTCAACTATAAAACATACAAAAGTATTATCTCGCTTGATTACATCGGATACGTGTTTATTTATTTCAATAAATTAAAAATATGTGTTGAACTTGAATTGTTCATTATATATTTGTCCAAAATTTTGCAAATTTAGTCGTTAATTTATTTATTCTTTAAGGGTTCCGCCTCAAGCATTTGAATTTTCAAATATTTTTTCAACGAAGAGTATAAACCAATCCAAAACGAAAGTCAATTTTGAATTGTCTACGACCGATGTAATTTCAAAAGTTCCAATAGTGATTGTTAAAATGAGTTCCAAACTCGATTCATGTTATTTGTTAAGATTATTGGTCAAATGAAGTGCTTATAATATAAGTCTCTTACGATTTTGGAATATTACTAGTGCTGTAGCAAAAATGACAAAAAAAACATTATGTTCACATGCGTACTTCCATGAAAATGTAGGTGAACATTCATATTACCTTCCTGTGTTCATAAAAATAATAATAAACACCAGAGAATTATAGAGTTTAGTCATAGGTGTAGTAAGAAATGTTTGCTTTGTTTGTAATGTTGTCACAATTTTCGGTTGATTGAGAATACTTTTGAAATTCAATCCAGTTATTAATCATGAATATACATTGTGCATTGTGTCAACCCTTTTTCGACCATAAATATATCGTTTAAGTGAAAATATTGAAGAAAAAGACGAAAAAAAAATGCCAAACAAGAATGAAACCAACAATGCATGTTCAGATTTATCGATATGTATATATGTTTGTATTCAAG